TGTCCAGGAAGGAGAGGACAACTTTGGCCCCAGTCCAAAACCCACTTCACTCACTTCAGTGGTGAGATGAGAACAGCAATTAGATATTAAAAAAATCAATATATGACAATTAAAAAAATGGAAAATGGATAGAAATCAATCGCAGTGAGAAACCATGGCGGGTAGAGAACAGGTCAGGAGAGCTGGAGATGCCAAGGAAAACTTGTGCCTGGCACCAATGAGGAGAGGAGGCGAGAGAGAGCTGCTCAGGATTCTGGAGAAGAAGGAAGGGATAAATGGAAGAAGCAGTAAGGTAGAAATTTTTGATAAATATTTCTGCTGTAGACCTGGAGAGCAGCTGTGTTTTGTCTCTGTATCATAGGTGGGTGATGATGGTTTTTTCTAGCTCATTGGTAGCCAGGGAGGGTTTTATATGAGCAGAGAGAAAAAATATTTCTCCTCCAAAGGAGAGAAATATTTCTAAATAAAAAGGCCCTGAAAAGTTGCACCCAAGGAACCCTGAAGAATTGACATGTGATGCTGGTTTTAAAAAAGCTTATGAACTGGGCAAATGCTTTCAAGAGCTGGTCAGGGTAACGTGGGAGAGTTGGCAACACTTTGCTTATCTCTCCTGGACAAAATAACTGAAGAACCAACATAGGATCCAATTGATAAAGAATTAAAGGAAAGAAATATAATTTGTGCCACTCAGCCTAAATTTATGGAATATGGATCTTGTCAAATAAACCTGATTTCATTCTTCTAGATAACAACTTTGGTTGATAAATGTAGATGAAATGGACTGCACAGCGCCGTGACATTGTGTATAGGAAGACCCAGCACTGGTACTGCTAGCACAGGTGATGCAGAGCTGGCCAACAGATTTGGGGATGTGGGGCTTTAAATGAAGAGCTCGGCAGGTGCTGGTGGGGGCCTCAGCGGTGCTTAGTGCTTTGTTGGTGATTTAGAAATTACTAAGCAATTCTGGTTAATTGGCATTGTGGGTAAAGCAAAGGTGGGTGCAGAGCAAGAGGGGCAGGTTAGTGGGGCGGTGTGGAAAGACTGTCAGGAAGGACGTGTTGAGAAGATACCAGGTCCAGCCTCATATGGTCCTTAGCTGGAAGAGTGGGATCGGGGCTGTGCTTACAGAGCTGGGTGCAGCACCATGGAAGGCATCAGCTCTGTGGGAAGCTGAGAGGGAAATCAGGTTCTTCCCAGCATGATGCCAGGATGAGAAGGGCTAGGCAGGTCCTTGAGTAGTGGAGGGGTGGCCTCAGGATGGAAAAATAACTGGATTTTGAAGTGTGCCTCGATTTCACGAAGAACACCTTGGTGTGTGTGAGGAGCCCATTGTATATCAAGAGCTTTTCAGTGTTTCAACCACAAAACCCCTCAAAATACAAAGAGAACGGGTAGAGGTTAGAGCTGGAGAAGTTCAGGTGGATCCCAATACCCATCTGTGAGTGTGGTTGGCTGTGGGAACTGACTGTGGTGGCAAGCAGTGGGTGCTCTCCCTGTCTGCTGAGCTGCTTTGAATAGATTTCACTGTGATTCTGTGCTCTGCCCTACGTTTGGCGCGGCCGGAGGAGGTCGTGCTTTACTGAAGGACACTGTGTTGGTTACAGAGTGACCTGTACCGCGGGTGAGGCTCAGAGGGTGAGAGCTGCAGATCCCTTTCAGCCTCAGATTCCTGAACTGAGGAGTAGCGAAGGATGTGAGCTCCAGCCCCAGGATGTGAGCTCCTGCCCCGCTGCTGGTGGCCAAGGAGGGCTGGTTCAGCGGTGACTCCTGACTCTTGGAAATGAGCTGAAAGCCCCAGTGGCATCGCAATGGAAGACATATCCCATCACATTGTCCTGGTGGATGCTGAGGCACAGAGAGCCCTATGGGGCCTTCTCCAGCTCTGTCCTTGGCCAGCAGCAGCTTCTGCATCTCCCTACTGTGAGACCCACCTCGCTTGTCCCATGGTCATGCCCAGATGCGTTTGCTGGGAAGGCTGTGTGGACACAGGGGCTGGCCCACACAGCAAGGAGCCATCAGTGGATATAGCCTTTGGGTCTGGCTCTTGAGGGGACCCAGATGGTGTCCCAAAAACCCATGGTGGTGGTGGGATGGGAGCAAGGGAGGGTAAGTTCCTTCCAAACCCAGAGATTGCTGCAGCGGTCTAAGGACCCGTCTTGTTGCTGTGGATTAGTGCCATAATTTTTGCAGTTTGGCAAGGCTGCATCAGACTGGAACGTATCTCTAGGTGGTGATATGGTCAGTCAATAGCCTTCATAATTAATCAAGCACTAATAGACAAATTAGAAATCATGTCTCTTCAGAGCAGGAGGTGGAGACAAATGGCTGGTGGATTTTAACTGTTTCGCTCCTTTGTTTTATTGCCTGGTTTTACCTTGCTCCCTTGAAAATGGTGGGTTGTTTAGGGGAAATTTTGTACATAAACATGATTTTAAATGTAAATTATTATCTTGATTACCAGACACGGACAGTGAATTGGAAACTTGTTTTTCAGGCAAGCACATGAAGAATAATCTTACATTTTACACTCCACTAAGTCAATGTAGCCCTAATTTTGCCACGCAGGAAATCAATTCCAGTCTTTATAACAGTCGAAGATGTTATGAACAAAGTAATTTTGCAAATTATGGCAAGTAACACATTTATTGATGACTGTAGCTTAGGAATTTAGAATTTGTGAGCACTGTAATATAATAAGGCTGCACTGGCAGGAGCTGAGTGAAATACAGATTATACGGTGAAACTGTAATGCATCATTTGCTATTAGTGGACTGGTAATAATTACCAGTTTCAAAGCAGCTTTTTCCATGTAATCTTTAGTCTCAGTCGTAACAGCCCTTCTCATTGACATTATGATTACACGAGCTGCCCTTATGATCTAGAATATCTAGTTGATGGGAATACTAAAATGTGGTAGCAAATGCTCGATGTTGTATCCTCATTATAAGATAAAATGCTATTTTCTCTGACCTGATCTATAAGGTAGAGAGGCGAGGTAGTGTTTCGTTGTTAGCTCCTACCGTGGTGTTAAAAACTTCCACTTCATTATGATGAAGGAAGATGATATTTTTTCCCCCCCAAGCTCACAAATGAGCATAGGAATGTGAAAGTCCAATTGAATTTCCCTCTAATTTCAGCAGATTTAAGTATTTATCTGTGCTCACATGCCTGGCACATACTAAACACAACACAGTGCATTTTATTCCAAGGCAGGCTTCAGGATGAAACATTAAATATTATTCCAAGGGCTTTTAAAGTGATTAAAATGTTAAATGCCTGCTGTAGACGACTGAGGCTCTTTGCTTGCCTGATTCAGCTTCTCAGGCCAAACGTAGAATAGTGGCAGAGCCGGGAGGCAGGGAGGGAAGCTGGGATGGAGCAGTACAGCCAGTGCTGGATCTCGTAGGATCACGGAATGGTTTGGGCTGAAAGGGACCTTAAAGATGCCTGGTTCTGTCGTGTATCCCCAGATCATCGGGAGGAAAATGCCTTACATGATGCTTTTCCTCCCCTGTGAGATGGGAAACAAGATGGGTGCAGATAAAGTGATGTTCCCTTTCCTAATTTGCCTTACTTGGTTATTTTGGTTATTATTTTTTAATTTTCCTTTTCTTTGTATTAGACAAATAGGGGAAACCTAATGAGGGCAACTGTCAGTGCAGCCTTTTTACCCAAGAGAGATGCCTAAGGAGCAGATTCCTTGGGATGTAAATGTTGGGTCAGGACAGTAATATGTGGTGAAGGCCGGTACCACCCTAAGTGCTGATGCCCTTGGAGGGCTCCTGGTTTATCTCTCAGCAAACCTCAACGTTATTTTTATTTGTTAAAATATCACTAAACAACAGCTCTATGAGAACTGCTGAACAAGGCTGGAAATGAATTTATATCTTTCTTTTAGCTCCAGCTTCAGTTTACCAGCGTTTAGCAAAAAGCATCCATATGGGGCTGGAAGTGAATTATTCACAAAATCCCAGTAATCAATAAAGGCACCCTCACCTTCACCATATCTCAAGCCACTCTTCCCTCGTGGGCAGCCCTCAAAAAGTTATTCATCCCCCTTGTTTTGCCATATATTAGAAGGGGCTGCTTTCTGCTGTCATTATTAGCCGGCTTTTTGTTTAGTTATTTATTAGTTGGTTGCTCTTTTATAATGTCCGTGTTATCTCCAAAAATAAATTATCATGAAATAGAGTTAGCTCACTACTTGCCAAAGTGGCATTTACCATCCTCAGCTTCTTTTCAGCGCGAGAGAAATAATGCGGCTCCGGCAGGGCGCTCGGCCAGGCCTCCTGGCCACCCTCCAGCTCTTTCCCTGGCGGAGCCGCCGCTCTCTCTGTCTTCCCCTTTCCCTGTCCCATGCTTGATTTTTTTTCTGGCCCCCTTCCCTTTTTATTTTTATTTTTATTTCTTTTTCTTTCCTTGCCCTAGAGGTAAATCTCTGCTAAGGAGCAGAAGTTGATTCTTAATTTTAAAACATTGTTAGTCTCAAAAGAAGGAGGAGACTAAAGTGTGTTGATGCCCAGCTTGCTGGCAGTTGTGATGCTTTGAACTGATCTGTGTGGAGTGCTTTTCAGAAGGGGATTTCTTTATTTGGTATTTATTTATCTATTTGTATATTTATTTACGTATTTATTTACCAACACTCTAAATGCCTTCAGCCTCTTGCAGCATAAAGTCTGCTGAGTTGGAGCTGGCGGTGATTGACTTTAATACCTCTTGCTTTTCTTATCTTGTTTTATTCTGTGGTTACCTGGCATGGTTCAGTTTTGAACCCAGAGCTGGGCATGGTGGGAGGCGGTGGATGTGCTTGGTGTGGGTTTGGGTCTCCCCATTGTGCCTCTCACCTCTTCCCATTCGTGTCCCCTGCCTGTCCCCCAGCTGGGATGTTCCTTGCCCGGCTGGGTGTCCCGGAGGAGGAGAGGAGGTTAGGGCGGGGAGGTGAGCGCTTGCCCACCACTGGACGGCCGGAGATTGACGCTGCTTGTTGTGTTATTTTGCAGGTAAAGATGAGCCCAGCAGCTACACGTGTACGACTTGTAAACAGCCTTTCAACAGCGCCTGGTTCCTCTTGCAGCACGCACAGAACACGCACGGCTTACGGATCTACCTAGAAAGCGAGCACGGCAGCCCCCTGACGCCACGGGTTGGTATCCCAACAGGACTAGGTGCAGAGTGCCCTTCCCAGCCACCTCTCCACGGGATTCACATTGCAGACAATAACCCTTTTAACCTGCTCAGAATACCCGGCTCGGTCTCGAGGGAGGCGTCGGGGCTGGGAGAAGGGCGTTTCCCACCCACGCCGCCCCTCTTTAGCCCTCCCCCGAGGCACCATTTGGATCCGCATCGCATTGAGCGCCTGGGTGCGGAAGAAATGGCTCTGGCCACCCATCACCCTAGTGCCTTTGACAGGGTGCTGCGACTGAACCCCATGGCGATGGAGCCCCCCGCTATGGATTTCTCCCGGAGGCTGCGGGAGCTGGCCGGCAACACCTCCAGCCCACCCTTGTCCCCGAGCCGGCCCAGCCCTATGCAAAGGTTGCTGCAGCCCTTCCAGCCCGGCAGCAAGCCCCCGTTCCTGGCCACGCCGCCCCTTCCTCCTCTGCAGTCTGCTCCTCCTCCCTCCCAGCCCCCCATGAAGTCCAAGTCCTGCGAGTTCTGCGGGAAGACCTTCAAGTTTCAGAGCAACCTGGTGGTCCACCGCCGGAGCCACACAGGGGAGAAGCCCTACAAGTGCAACCTCTGCGACCACGCCTGCACGCAGGCCAGCAAGCTGAAGCGCCACATGAAGACCCACATGCACAAGTCCTCCCCCATGACGGTGAAGTCGGACGACGGGCTCTCCACCGCCAGCTCCCCTGAGCCGGGCACCAGCGACCTGGTGGGCAGCGCCAGCAGCGCCCTCAAGTCCGTGGTGGCCAAGTTCAAGAGTGAGAATGACCCCAACATGATCCCTGAGAACGGGGATGAGGAAGAGGAGGAGGAGGAGGAGGAAGAGGAGGAGGAGGAGGAGGAAGAGGAGGAGGACTTGAATGAGAGCGACAGGCAGGACTATGGCTTCGGGATGAGCCTGGAGGCGGCCCGTCACCACGAGAACAACTCACGGGCTGGTGAGGAGGGCCGGGCGATGCCGGACGTCATGCAGGGCATGGTCTTGAGCTCCATGCAGCACTTCAGCGAGGCCTTCCACCAGGTCCTGGGGGAGAAACACAAGCGGGGCCACCTCCCCGAGCCCGAGGTGCACAGGGACACTTGCGACGAAGACTCGGTGGCCGGCGAGTCCGACCGCATTGACGAGGGGGCCGTCAACGGCCGGGGCTGCTCCCCGGGGGAGTCTGCCTCGGGAGGCCTGTCCAAAAAGCTGCTGCTGGGTAGCCCCAGCTCCCTGAGCCCCTTCTCCAAACGCATCAAGCTGGAGAAGGAGTTCGACCTGCCGGCCGCCGCCATGCCCAACACCGAGAACGTTTACTCCCAGTGGCTGGCGGGCTACGCCGCCTCCCGGCAGCTGAAGGACCCCTTCCTCAGCTTCGGCGACTCCCGACAATCGCCCTTCGCCTCCTCCTCCGAGCACTCCTCGGAGAACGGCAGCCTGCGCTTCTCCACGCCGCCGGGCGAGCTGGACGGAGGGATCTCAGGCCGCAGCGGCACGGGAAGCGGAGGGAGCACCCCCCATATTAGTGGCCCGGGCCCTGGCAGGCCCAGCTCAAAAGAGGGCAGACGCAGCGACACTTGTGAGTACTGTGGGAAGGTCTTCAAGAACTGTAGTAATCTCACCGTCCACAGACGGAGCCACACGGGCGAGAGGCCGTATAAGTGTGAGCTTTGCAACTACGCCTGCGCCCAGAGTAGCAAGCTCACCCGGCACATGAAAACACACGGGCAGGTGGGAAAGGACGTTTACAAATGCGAGATTTGTAAGATGCCTTTTAGCGTGTACAGTACCCTGGAGAAACACATGAAAAAATGGCACAGTGATCGAGTCTTGAATAACGAGATAAAAACTGAATAGAGGTATATTCGTACCCCCCCACCCCCCCATCCACCCCCTTCCCTGACCCATCCCGCATCCCCGTAGAGGTTTTCTAGTCCCTTGTGATGGAAGTCATGGAAGCTAAGGATATTTGGAAAGTGCTTGTCACCAGCACACCCTGTTTATTTTCTTTTTGTTCTCACCGTTTGAATGCATGATCTGTATCGGGGCAATACTATTGCATTTTACGCAAACTTTGAGCCTTTCTCTTGTGCAATAATTTACATGTTGTGTATGTTGGGGTTTTTTTTTTTGTTTTGTTTTTTTGTTTTGGGTTGTTATTTTTTTATTTTGGTTGGTTGGTTTTATTTTTTTTTATTTCTTTTTTTTTGTTTAATTTTTGGATTAGACAGCATGTATGGTATGTTATGGCTGTTTTTAAATTGTCCCTGATTAGTTGCTGAGCAAACACGTCGCTGTTTCCAATTCCGTTCGGGAAAAAAAAAAAAAACAAAAAAGGAAAAGAAAAAAAAAAAAGAGGAAAAAAGAGGAGAGGAGGAGGAGGGAAAAAAAAAAAAGAAAAAAAAAAGAAACAAAATCAAACCCGAGAGCAAACAACACCGACCATGCTGCATACATCCTGTAATACATATCATGTACAGTTTTGTTTCGTGACGTGCAAAGGAAAGCTCGCTGTGGGTGACCCTCTGCGGACAGGACCGATAGCACCGAAGAAGCGTTGTGTTAGCCTAGATTGCTGTCTTAAACCAATAAACCCATGATTGGAGACAGAGTTCCCCTTGGGAACATTAAAAAAGGCCTTTAATTGGGAATAATCGACTGCCACCAGTCAGGAAGAGGTAGATTTCTCTTAGCATTTGATTTCAAACACACCCACCCACCCACACACACACAGATAATAATAATAATAATAATAATAAATAATAATAATCCGAGTGCCTTGGATCTGTCGCGGCCGATGCCGATGGCTCCTTTCTGCTCATCCTCCACGCGTAGCTCGTCGCCACCTCGGCCGCGCTGGGAGCCGCCTCGTGCCCCTCACAACGCCGGCCACCTAGGAACGAAGAGGGAAGAGGAAACTAAGGAAGAGAAAGAAATGACCCACTCAGTCCTAGTTAATCATCATTCTCCTCTGCCTTTTAGTATTATTATTATTATGAATTATTATTATTATTACTATTATTTTTTAAAAACTGATCATACCAGTCTAAAAATCTGCTTGGCTCGTGGAGAGAGCTTAAAACGAGATGTAGAACCTTCCCCCCTCTGCCCACCCTGCCCCAAACTTTCATTCCCCCTCCCCATCAATGATTAAATAGAATGTGAAACGCGCAGAGGCCCTTCAACACCATTAAACACACAATAAAGGAAATCCGTTTTATGAAGATATTTACTTTTAATAATATCTTTTATTGATTCTGGCACCAAAACAAATAAATCCGGAGCCACTTGGTTGTCAAGCTGACAATCAAATTATAAACTTTAAGACCTCGTGTATACCGTATAAAAAATAAAATAAAGACTGGCAATAATATTTTACCGAGTGTAACAGATAGAGGAGCAAAAAAATAAATAAATTGTGATTTATTAGCACAATGTGGTACTGTTTGCCATTTAAAACTAGAACAGGTGTATAAGCTAATATCGACACAGTGGTGATTAACTATGAACTCTTAAGACTTGCCTTTAATGTGATGCTTTGGAAGAAGTAACAGAAAAAAAAAAAAGCAAAAAAAAAAAAAGCGAAAGAGTAGCAGTATCTGTCTGTGCTCCCTAAAAGTTGTCCTTCATTATTTTTTTTTTTCCCATCCTCTGTGTGCTATTTGTGTTGACGTGGAAGAGGATTCCTTGTTTTACTCCTAAGCTAGCGCCCGCCCCGGTTGGTGTTCAAATAGCACTTGACTCTGCCTGTGATGTCTGTATCTTTTCTTTAATCAAAGGTACAGAGGTTGAGTATAAAATAAGACTGCTCAGATAGGACAATTAAGTGCACTGTACAATTTTCCCAGTTTACAGGTCTATACTTTAAGGGAAAAATTGCAAGAATGCTGAAAAGGAAAAAAAAAAAAAATTCAACACACATTGATGAGCATAAAAAAAAACAAAAACCAAACAAAAAAACCCCACAAAACCCCACAAACTTTGCCAGCCATTTACTTGACTAATGAGCTTATCTTCTCGGACGCGACATTACAGCGCTGTGAATGGAAACAGACTCTACACTCACATAAAATGAATGATTGCTTTCACTCCTACAGTGCAAGGATTTTTTTTTTTGTACAAAAAAAAAAAGGATTTAAAAAAAAACAAAAAACAAACACCACAAAACCTTTTTTTAAATATAAATGTTAAGAAAATTTTTTTAAGGAAGAAAAAGAAAAAAAAAACCACAACACTTCATTATGTTTAGGGGGAAACTGTATTTTAGGGTTCATTGTCTTGGTGGTGTACAAGACTTGTTACTCATTTTAAAATGGTAGTGGAAATTCTATGCCTTGGATATACACAGCTCTTCAGGTTGTATAAAAACATGCATTGGGGAAAGGTTTTAAGATTATATAGTACTTAAATATAGGAAAATGCACACTCATGTTGATTCCTATGCTAAAACACATTTATGGTCTCTTTTTTCTGTATTTCTAGAATGGTATTTGAATTAAATGTTCATCTAGTGTAGGCACTATAGTATTTATATTGAAGCTTGTATTTTTAACTGTTGCTTGTTCTCTCAAAAGGTATCGATGTACCTTTTTTGGTAGTGGAAAAAAAAAAAAAAAACCACAGGCTGCCACAGTATATTTTTTTAATTTGGCAGGATAATATAGTGCAAATTATTTGTATGTTTCAAAAAAAAGAAAAAAGACAAAAAGACAAAAAAGGTGTGACATTGTACAGATCCGAGGCCATATAATGGCCCTTTGGGGGAAACCTGTTCCGATGTCACGCTGCTGGCCGTCACAGAGGGGTGTACATATCTTTTTTCGTTCTTTTTTCCTGCTGCCATACTGTATGCAGTACTGCAAGCTAATAACGTTGGTTTGTTATGTAGTGTGCTTTATGTCCCTTTCCTTCTATCACCCGACATTCCAGCATCTTAACTTCATATGCAGTAAAAGAAAGAAAGAAAAGAAAGAAAAGAAAGAAAGAAAAAAAAAAAAGCTAAAAAAAAAGAAAAAAAAAAAAAGAAAAGAAAAAACCGTTTTGCAGTTTTTTTCATTGCCAAAAACTAAATGGTGCTTTATATTTAGATTGGAAAGAATTTCATATGCAAAGCATATTAAAGAGAAAGCCCGCTTGAGTCAATACTTTTTTGTAAATGGCAATGCAGAATATTTTGTTATTGGCCTTTTCTATTCCTGTAATGAAAGCTGTTTGTCGTAACTTGAAATTTTATCTTTTACTATGGGAGTCACTATTTATTATTGCTTATGTGCTCTGTTCAAAACAGAGGCACTTAATTTGATCTTTTATTTTTCTTTGGGGTTTTTTTGGGGGGGGAATTTTTTTTAAATTTTTTTTTTAATTTTTTTTTTTTTTTTTTTATTATTTGGATGACCAAAGGTCATTACAACCTGGCTTTTTATTGTATTTGTTTCTGGTCTTTGTTAAGTTCTATTGGAAAAACCACTGTCTGTGTTTTTTTGGCAGTTGTCTGCATTATCCTGTTCATACACCCATTTTGTCCCTTTATTGAAAAAATAAAAAAAAAACCTTAAAGTACACAGTGTCAGCTTCTGGTGTCCTCATTTGACACACGCTGTAGGTGGCTTCCAGCAGCAGGCTGTAGGGGAAGGTCCCGCGCCAGGGGCGTTTTGGGGGGCCCGCTCCCAGCTTGGCCTTAAATCAGCCCCCTCTGCCCAGGAAGAGGATTTTTGGGCTAACGAGTTCACTTTCCGGCCAGTGGAAGGTGTTTGCAGTCTGGACCCATAGCTTTGGGATTTTTCCCCACTTCTAGATCAGGAGTGAGCTGAGACCCCCTCACCGCGATAGCCCCCGGCCTTCCCTCGGTCTGCAGCGGGGATTTTCCCTCCCCGTTTGGCAGGTGTGTGGCAGAAGAGGTGAGCAAACCAGCAGCTCTGCAGCCCCCCGGGACTCCCCCATCCCCGGCTGCTTTTGGGGACGGGGGTGAAATCAGCCACTGGCGCACGCAGGCGCGTGGGCAGGAGCTGATTTCTCTTGGGGGTCTCCCGCCGCGGCTCTGGGATCGCACCGACCCCAGCCCAAAGCTGCCAGCCCCGCTCCCAGCTGGAGCTGGGAGCTCCCTTCTTTTCTCCCCAGGCTTTGATTTTTATTTTTTTGGTGGGAATTGCAGGTTTCTGTGCGTTGTCTCTAAAGTCCGGAGTTCAGGTCCCCCCTGTCCCCCCCCTTAGGGGTCTGTATATGTTGTCAGTTTGACAAATACTGCATGTTGCAGCATCTCTTTACTTTATTAAAGCACATACCGCTGTGATATTGTCTCTTGCTGTTCCTAGTGTAATGGATTTAATACTTTTTTTTTCTTTTCCTTTTTTTTGATTTCTGTAAAACCTTCCAGTTGTTCTGTCGTCTTCTTGTGATGGCATCGTTTGTTGCCTGTATTTTGCCCGGCGCCTTCTGAAGGGGAGGTTTGGAATTTTAAAAAAAAAGACAGAAATACCTATCTAAAGAAAAAAAAAAAATTACTCTTTTTCTAAGAGAGATTTGAAAAGAATGTAGTAAAGCTCCATTTTAATCCTGGAAGAGGAGGGATGAAGATTTTGTTGTCTGGGATAGTGGGGAGAGTGCGGGAGGGCTGGAAAGGTGCCGGCAGTTCCCCGCGAGCTGCGCTCCCCTTCAGCAGGCTGGTACCCACCCGCTGGAGCTGGAGTCGTGCCAGAGGGATCCCTAGCACCGCCATGGGGAGGCAGAGCCCCGCCCTGCATGGGGAGCTCATGTGGCAGGGGCACGGACACTGGCTGCTCCCTGGAGGGCCAATGTCCGCAGGGATGGGCTTTGCAGGCTGCCTTGATGACACATCTTTCGATCCCGTGCCGTGAAATACCTGTACAGAGTCCGGTTTCTCCCTCCCTGTCCTTGTTTTTATTGCTGGTTGGTGAGGCCACGGCGGAGATGTTTTCTAGAGGACTGGGGTTAGCTGTGCCCGGGCTCGAGCGTAGCCTGGCTGATTTCAGAGCGGGCTCTGTACCCTGAGTCCATCCTAGGGTGGCTGTCATCCCGCTGCCTTTCCCTATACGGTGTTTTACTTCTGAAATAATCATACATAAGAGCATCTAGGCAGGCATCTGCATATATCCGTGTACAGGCATCACTAGGTAGATCTGTGCTGCTGCAAGATTAACCAGTGGAAAGCAAACTATTGACTTCTTTATTAAGTGGCACAGCGATGCGTGTGATTCACAGGTTTCCCAGAGCTAAATTTTCCAGGTTTCCCAGAGCTGAACGAGCCCAGCGGGCGCTGCGTGGCACACG